ATTCATGCACGCTGTATTAATATTCAAAGAATAGTAGCTAATACCTAATAAGGCAAGGAAACTTGTATGATGGATGAAAAATGAAATTTCCAGCGAATGTATAAAATCCCTATGAGTTCTAGCAATTGGGCAGAGAGCCGCACATCGAGCCAGCCGAATAAACCACATCAACTACAGTACAACTTTGTCTCAAGTCATCCTCTTGTGTCGATTCATATAACCTGTCGGGTTATAGCATCTACCAAGACCACTATCATTAAGTGCTTTCTCATCAAAAAAGAGTTATGCACCAATTAGAGAAAACACATTACAAATTAACCCAATGTTTAAAGGCTGCGATTATCGTTTTCAGTATAGTGCCTGGTAAAGTGGCCTGACATAAGAAAGAAAAGAGAATGGATTCCCTGACTCCGAAAACCTAGAGATAGACACCAAATTTATTCTCATAACCCAAACAGGAGAGGAGATAGCTGTCAAATTGATCCGATGCACCACCTCGCGGCCATATTGGATTTATAGCAATTGAACCTATATAGATTTTAGAACACTAAATATGTGTTGTACCGATTTTACCATCTGTCTCATCTCGGGAAGGTATGCCCGACTGCCTAGAGATTGACCCCTGCTTTGGGATTCACCAGCCCCTAAGTCAGAGTTTTCACCGACCCACCGACTGGCAACGACCTGGATATCTGTCAAGGAAATACAAGCTCCGAGGGCGTGGCCATCACCCTTGGACTGATGGAAGTGTGTTTCCTTTAAGGGACCTGAATAAATAAGTTTTCGAGTTGTAAATATTTTTTTCTTTTCTTTCTTGTGAAAACGGCCGTGGGGTGTTCAAGTAGGACTTTAGTTTAAATTTATACACATAGGGATACTGCTGATGTTTTCGGAAACTGGTGGTTTAAATCAGCAAAATAATAAGTATTGAAATCAAATAAGTAATTACATTTTGCGAATTGCAGAAAAAAGGTTAAAGGATATCTTCGTTTTGGGGGTTTGTTTAGCCCCAACTTACCTGCCTGCTACTGTACTGAAGACTTTTCACCGTTCTTCGTTTTAACCCTACGTAGATTCAGTTCTACAAATTTCTGTGTCTGATTCTTCAAATCCGTGCCTTTTAAAATAGGATTCAGAATTGTGCATGTCAGAATATTCAGAATAAATCACTTCAGTTCATCGTCAACTTCATTCCTTTTAGATTTCTCTGCTCCCTGTGCACTTTCCATATGTCTCCATAGGTTATATCTCCGTCCAAAGCTTTTGTTACACCATTGCCAAGCGTGGGGTTTGACTGCAGAAACATTATTCACGTCGATCCTTGGAAGGACAATCTTCATATGGCAAGAAACGGATAAATAATTAAATATACTACTGCTCATTTCTTTGCTTATTTGGTCACTTCGTTGCTCATTTGAATTCCGTTTTTCTTCCAGAAAAGCCTACAGATTGCACGACAAAAGCTCTTGATATGTTTGCAGCATAGTGTGCCAGGGCCATTTTCGTAAGCTTTAGACGATAGAATCTGCTGCGGGTTTTAATTGCATTTGACTAATTAAAATGAAAGGGTTTGTTTTTGAAAATCACTGATCTTCCAAGAGATGTTCGTGGCGTATTCGTAGAAGCAGCTTGTTCGTAGGTTTGAGATGATGGGTTGAAATTGCAATACATACACCTGTTTAATTGCAGTGAATAAACTGCATTCTGAGGTTTGAGTTTAAAAAGTCACCTTTCTTAGAGATGTACGTCCGGATTGCGGGGGCTCAAATAATACTTTAATTCCAATTTATAAATGCAGAACTAAGGGTAAGGTATATAAAAGACTGTTTAATCAGAAAAGTTTGTGGCTCAGTGTGAAGACGGCGTGACAAATGTTGGGAAGCTGGTTCAAATCCAGGAGAAACACTTTTTTCAATTTCAATATTAATTGAAACCTAAGGGTGAAGTATAAAAAAATCAGTGTTTTCTCAGATATGTTTGTGGCTCAATGTAGAAGCGCCGTGCTTAAAAGTGTGGGCAACTGGTTAGAATCCCGGGAGACACTTTTTTAAATTCCACTAATTGATTCAAACCTAAGGGTTTAGTATAAAAAAAACCCCGGTGTTCCTTCAGAGATGCTTTTGGCTCAGTGTGGAAGTGCCGTGCTGGAAAGTGTGGGAAGTTGGATCGAATCCCAGGAGACACCTTTTTAAATTTCACTTTATTAATTCAAACCTAAGGGTTAAGTATATAAAAAAGTTGTGTTCCTTCAGAGATGTTTGTGGCTCAGTATGGAAGTGCTGTGTTGGAAAGTGTGGGAAGTTGGTTCGAATCCCGGGAGGCACTTTTTTCAGTTTCACTTATAAATTCAGACCTAAGGGTTAAGTATTAAAAAAAATGGTCTTCCTTCAGAGATGTTTGTGGCTCAGTGTGGAAGTGCCGTGCTGGAAAGTGTGGGAGGCTGGTTCGAATCCTGGGAGACACTTTTTAAAGTCAATCTCAAAATTCAAACTCAAATTTATAAATCAAACCTAAGGGTTAAATTTAAAAGAAAAAGGTGTTCTTTCAGAAATTGAAGTGGCTCAGTGTGGAAAAACCGAGCTTGGAGTGAGAGATGATGGGTTCGAATCCCAGGGAGGACATTTTTTAAAGTCATTCTCAAAATTCAAACTCAAATTTATAATTCAAACCTAAGGGTTAAATTAAAAAAAAAAACATGTTCTTTCAGAAGTCGAAGTGGCTCAATGTGGAAGGATCGTACTTGAACGCGGAGATGATGGGTTCGATTCCCAGAGACGACACTTTTTGAAGTCAATCTCAAAATTCAAACTCAAATTTATATTCCAACCTAAGA